TGGCCTCAAGGGTGCGGCAGGCTCGTGACGTTTGGACTGCAAACTGTAGGGGTTCAACCAAATGAAGTCAGTGGGTGGACAAATAACAAATGACGTCACAAGCGAACGGTGCCCCCCCCCCCTTTAAACAAAAGCCGGTGCATTTGTATGGTACAGTAATATAGTGTACATGATGTAGGATTTTATCAGCGCTCCCAGTTGAAATATGGCACGAGCCCCCCCCCCCCCCCCCCCCCCCCCCCCCCCCCCCCCCCCCCCCCCCCCCCCCCCCCCGCCTCAGCTTTTGATTTTACCATGGAGGCTATGGGCTCCGTGCACAAGTGCCCCTTCAACGGCCAGAAACGGAGAGTTGGGGGAGGAGACTGGTTACCAGTCCATCCACTGCGTATTTTGAATGATGCAAAGTTATTGGGGAAGGGAATAGTCTGGGATACCATCGCAAGTTAAATTGAACGTATGCGCGCCGACGTTGCCTGACGATCATGCGAAGACGCTGCGGCTAATAGCCCGGTTGGCACATTCTGGAAGTGGTGAACTTTGAGCGCGAACCCGTACATTACAGTACGCACCTGCTATGTCCCGTCCATCATGGAGAAATATAACACGTCCAATGGTGCTCTCAAATGTGGTAAAACGCGCCCTCTTGGTTAGAGCACGGAGCCCATACGGAGGCCAAGTGTCCGGAGAAAAGACATGTCCACATTAATTTCGGCGCGGATGTGCAGTTTTGAAATGTCCAATGGTGTAAGACCAGGTGACACATTGACAAACTGATCATTATAGTATTAGCAATGCCATTACGATTACTTGCACATACCCCTGGGACATGTATGCTGAGTTCAGAATTATTTCTAGTCATTATTTTAATCTGTTTGTGCCAGTTTTTAGGAATCATTTTAATTTCTCGTTCCACGGAAGAACACTACAATTCTGCATCCTTTTCGAACCGATCAACTTTATTTTCAATTTCTAATTAAAATGCCAACCATTATGATTAAAACAATATCGTGTGAACCGTGATTAAGTCAGCCATCGGTTAAGTATTTTCAGCTTATTCAATTTTAAACACATGATACGCTCTGTTCAAGAGGCCAATCAGCAGCTTGTTTTAGCCCTTCTAAAACTAGGGGCAACTACATTTTTTTCCAAATTATAAACACTTTGAATCGTAGATGTTCTTAATTTGAAAATAACACTTTGAATTGCAGATGTTCTTAATCTGAAAATATTGCAAGAACATCAAACGTTTGTAGCTTAAACAGTTTCATGTTCAATGCTGCTGTAATTGTCCTTTTGTCAAATTCATGACTCATCAGTTGAACTTGCGTTGAATTTATTAAATTGTTTTTCTTGCACTGAAGTTTTAATTGGTAGTATGTTTTGTGTTGTTTTGGTTGTCTGCCATTCTGCTTTCATTTTGAAACTCTCCACCCGGCATTTTGCATGTGTGAGTAAAGTGCCCCGTGAGATTACATACAAACATACAATGATATTTTACAAAATACTAAATAGCCTAACAATAAATATCCTAAGAAATGCAATAAATTCACATGTGTAAGTAGAAGCTACACCCTCACATCTTTTTCCAATTTAAAATTACAAGGCAATCTCGGTTTGGTTTGGAAGGATGGGTCACGTGATTTTTCACGTAAATTAAAAAATGAAGACCCTGGAATATTGTATCAATTCCTGTAAAAAGCGAAATCAGATCTCTCACAGTTGACTTTATATTGATTTTCAAAGATTAATCCGTGGTCTCAACATGTATGCACACCTATGCTACTGTACTGTAAACTCATCAAGTACATGTACAATGGTAACAAAACCCATTTAATAGCTCATATTTCTAAAAGTAAAGGTCGCACACCATTGGCGCAACAAAGTATTGCTCGCCATACCCTCTTCACTTCAATGTGCATGTTTCTTTATAGAAAAAAAGCGCCCAATTTTTTAAAAGTGCCCAATTTGGCGCTTTTGCCAGACCAACTGTGTCTCATATGACGTCGTCTCAAAAGTTAACAAGTTGTCATACAATTACGTGTACAAAACACTAGTAAACACTTAAGAATACATTGCACACCCGTTAAACTTCTGTACCGCTCTCTCAGTTTTGGCAAGCATAAACTATGAGTCAGGGGGAATTCCCTGCCATTATACACGCACAATGCAATCTACGTACATGCCTTGCAATGAACGTTTTAAAGGGGAGGGTTGTTGAGCCTTGTATTTCAAGGGTGCCGCAGGGCATGTCCTATTTCGCTCAATTTTTGCCAAGAGACACGGGGAAGTTTGAGACCTACTTTCACATTGACATTTAAAGCAAATATGTAAGGACTGATTTTCAGGAATTTTCAAAGAAACAGAGATCTTGTTATTATAACTTCTGGTCTGATGATGTCATCAATTTTTTTTTCGCGCACAGCTGTTGTCTGCATAAAGGTCATCATATGAACTAATTTTGAAGTGATTACCGCGAACTTAGCCACACATATCAACTGATTCATTTTAAACATTTTTAAACCTGCCGCTAGAGGGCGCTCTAACATTTTATGACGTCATCGATAAGTTTTTCTAAAGTTCACCCTAGCCAGACTTACATCGTTGAAAGCAAGTTTACATCTTTTTCCACTTCAAATATAAGGCACTTTCGGTTTCGACTGGAAGGAAGGGTCACGTGATTAGACACACATGAGATGAAATGAAGATCCTGGATTATTCTATCAATTCTTTCAAAAGCCAAGTTCAGGTCTCTCATGGTTGATTTTATATTGATTTTCAAAGATTAAGTCTAGAAATTTTTAATTGCCTTTAATTTGATACCTGATAACGTCATGATGACATTACCAAATTTACAACATCTTTGTAACATGGTACAAGTTCAAACTAGGTTTTATGATCATCCAGTCAACTGTTCAGAAAAAGTTTGCTTTGTTTTGATTTCACTGAGGCTAATGTCTTCATTTTAAATTCACCTAACTTTGACCTTCCGGTAGCCCCGGAAGTAAAGGTTAAGCTACTTTTACTTCAAAATCAAAAATGTTTATCAAGGTATGGTCCATCAGATCACAACTTATGAACGTGATGACTTATTTGTTCCATGAGTTATACATGACGGAAAATTGTCATATTTTGAACAATAATCGCTTGTAATTTGATACCCAATGATGTCATTGTGATGTCAGAGTAATATGCACCACTCGGGATGAGGGTAGATATATGTTGAAGGTTACAAGTTCAAACAATAAACCGTTTTGGAGAAAACCCGCAGAGAATTATTGTCCAGAAAAGAAAAAACAAACAAACAAAGAAGATCGATCAGAACAATTCTAAACTAGAGCACTTCATTACAAAATGAAAACTAGCAAGTACATAAAACAACGCTCACCGATCACAGTATGTGCATGGAGCTGTATCCGGTGGGGGCCAGCATCGTCGAGCACATGAAATAAAAGAGCAAGAAAACACAATGACAACTTTTAGAACAATGTAAAGCATCAGCCTGAATTTTATTGCAACATTTGACCCCCAAGACGGATGCAA